AGGGGGCAGGAACGCCAGGGGCTCGCCCCCACCCCGCTGGATGAGGTGCTGCGGCCGCGCGGCCCTCCTGTCCCATGCCGCGGGCTGAGCCTCCGGCTTTCGGGGGGGCTGGCAGAGAGGGGGAGCGAGAACCCCCACTTTGGCACTAAGAGGGCTGGAAACAGCTCCCACTCACCAGCCAAGAGGAGGTGAGCATCCCGGCAGGGCTGAAGACAAGGTGCACCCCCCTGTCCCCCCGAGGCGCCGAGCCCCAGCCGCGCGGCCCTCCTGTCCCATGCCGCGGGCTGAGCCTCCGGCTTTCGGGGGGGCTGGCAGAGAGGGGGAGCGAGAACCCCCACTTTGGCACTAAGAGGGCTGGAAACAGCTCCCACTCACCAGCCAAGAGGAGGTGAGCATCCCGGCAGGGCTGAAGACAAGGTGCACCCCCCTGTCCCCCCGAGGCGCCGAGCCCCAGCCATGAGCACTGTACCCCCACAGCCCCTGCACGGGGACAGCGGAGCGATGGCCGCGGCGTTAGCACTACCACCACACACGACACTCCTAGGAACAGCCTCTGCCACAGCACAGCGCCCGAGGGGGGTGCTCGGAGCCGGCCGGGGGGAGGCTTGCCCCAGACACGGGGTGTATTTGCCTTTTCACAGTCTCACCATGTTGTTTTTTAAAAAAAATCTTATTTACAAAGGAAAGCACAAGCATTACTTCCTGCATGGAAGGCTGGGAAGCCTTCCAGGATTGCAAACCTCAGCCAGGTACAACACATGGCTCCAGTGCCCTTAGTGCCCTAAAAATAAAGCGGTTTTGAAGTGTTTCATCTTGGACGCTGTGTTTCAGTGCAGAAAGATCCCTGCTCTGGGGCTGCACAGCACGAACCGGTGCCAGACCCCATGCTCTCCTCCCCCAGAAGATGCCTTCAGAGGCATGGGGGTCTCTCCGTGCTTCAGCATTCGGCTGCTGCACGTGTCCTGTGCCTAGATCTACAGGAAAATCGTTGAACTGGGTACAATCCTATGAACGGGGCAACACCACTGTCGCTCCCTCCTGCGCCCATCAGGCAGAGCTGCCGTCTGCAGGGAGCTGGCTAAGACTTTGCAATCTGTAGAAGGAAGTGCTTGCAACTCTGATTTACCCAGAATAAACAAAGACTTTAGCAAACACGGAGCTGCTGTTGAGAAATAAGTTAAGGATGCTCTGCGAACCACCCTGTCTGTATTCCTTGTGAGCTGCTGCCCTAAAACTGCAGGATTTTGTTAGACAGAACTCTGTAAAAACCTGTGACCACACGACAGGGTACTGAGAGAGGCCTCGCAAGGCTGCTAAAACCTACAGCATATGCTCAAACCCACGATCCGCACTGAAAACGTCGGATGAGGACAGGAAGGAGGGACGTGAAATGGCCCGGCTGGGGCTGCACAGAGGACGATGCCCTGGTGGACACGGGAAGGGGACAGAGGGGCTGAATAAGGCACACCAAACAGATGGGGGTTAACGCTGCGTGTGTGGGAAATGAGACCCCTCGCCTCACTCTTCCATGCTGGGCTGGCCTGCCCTGCTGGCTCCGGCACGGCGGGGCTGGGGACGGGACCTGCGGGGGCTCCTGCCAAACAGCGGATCACAAAGCACAAGCACCAAGGGTCAGCCGGATGAGGACCCTCCGAAAAAAACATTTGGCAACAGTGAGAGGAGAGAGGAGCGGGGCGGAGGGGACGCGACAGCTCGGCCGGGCACGGGGCTCCTTCCCCGTTCCCACTTCCAACCTCAGAAATGGGCCCGCTGGCTCCTTCGCCCGGCTCCTGCACCCGCTCCGCAGCCAGCGCCCACGCAGCCGCCCCGAGCCTCCTCTCTTCCAGCACTTGAAACAACATTGTCACTGGTTGTGAGTTTTATACTTACTGTTTTGCACTTTTCTTTTTTTTCCTATAAACCCATCGGTATTCAGACATGCATCAAAAAAATCCCCAATGGATTCTAAATACTAATATTTACAGTCTTGTATACTACAGCATTTACTGTGCAAAAGCTAGTACCGTCACTAAAAGATACGGGTTCACAGGACAAGTGAACCACAGTACCTCGGGTAGTCCATGTTTCCAGGGTTGGGAGGGATTACCGTTGCTTAAATAATGAGATCTGAGAGGAGGAGGGGGATACGATGACCGGAGATGGCGGGTCCCTGCCCACATTTTCAGTGCCTTTTCCGTATCTACGACCGGTGCCTTCTTCCCATGAAGAAGGCGCCAGAGATCTGGGGTAAACCGAAGACCCCTGTAAACACAAGCAGCTCGGAAAGCAGAGCTCCTCCAGCAAGCAGCGGGAGACTCTTCCATCCTCGTCTCCTAGGGATGAACACATTTCGAGGTGGCACTGCAGGGGAGACTCAAACCCTTGGCTTCCATGGCTGCTGCCTGCGGAACACCACTCCAGAGACAAGTTTGCGGGTGCTGAGCTCTTGCTGACCCTCCTTCGCGGATGAAAACAAAAGCCTGGGTATTCCCAGATGCAACTGGCCAGCAAACCAGTAACGCACTTGCATGGGACCCTCCTTCCACAAAGCTCTCTCCCCGGGTTTAAAGCTGATTCATGGCACAGAGGGACGGGAGGAGAAGGAGGGCGAGTGCAGCGAGCACCGGCTGATCTCTGCCCGTCGTGGCTGGCACGCGCGGTCACTTCTCGCCCGCTGCGAGAGCCCGACATTCACACGCCCAGGGATCGCTGCCAGCTGGGAGGGAGGGTGCGTCATCCAGTAACAGGTACAAACATTGAACTCCAGTCTCATAGCTGCCCTCGGTGCATCTGCGGAGCAATTCTTGCTCGCGCAACCCCTCCTCCTAGGTTTTCTCTTCTCGGTCTGTTTTCCGCCTCGTAATGTTCCGAGGTTTGATTTTGAGGGACAGTTCCCACAAGGCCTCCTCAGCCAGGTGATCGCTGAAATCGTTGAAGAATGACACTATGTCGTCGTTTCTTTTGATGTCGTAATGTCTGGAAAACCAGAGAGTAGGGCGGCAGTTAAACCTGGGGACCTCTCCCAACTTTGAGCCACCCCCGCCCTAAGGGACGTCCACTGCTGTGGGGTCTGCATTGCCTCAGCCCGATACTCCTGACTGTGGCATCAGGGGAAAAACCATCATGCCCGTCGCTGAATTGGGGGGAAAAAAAAAGACCCTATCACATTGAAATCAGCAGTTAGATCTGCTGCCTCTGCTGCCAGACAGCATTGAATAAAACCCTCCATGACCTAGAGAACACCAAGACCCAGCAACAGCAAGACCTGGAGGAAAAACTGTTGTATGAAAGAGAGTAGTGAGAAAACTTTACTGCACTGGATCTCAAAACTAATATAGGAGAAATGTCTTCACAACTTTCAGTCATACCTCACCTAGAGAGGGAAGGAGACTGTGACCGGAGCCCGGTTGTTCCCAGGTCTCCTTACATCTCCATCATGATGCTTTGACTTTAGGTTCCCTTCTCCTTGCATGGGGGCTCAGCTGCTCCAGCCACGACCCCCCCAGCAATCCCCACCGTGGTGCCTCAAAGCCAGCTCTGCCCCGCCTGTTGCTGCACTTACACTTGTTGGAAGCACCTCATGCTGTCCAGGATGTTAAACTGCTGCCAGCGCTTGGAAAAGTTCACTTTGCTGTCAATGTAATCTGGGTTTCCCAAATGAACAAAGGTCAGGTCCTGCAGAATCAGGCCTCTGAAAGAGGAAGGGGCAGTAGGCCAGGGAGCAGGCAAACAAGAACAGAGGTTAGTCACACAGGGGCAGCCAAAAGGCAGCCAAACGCAATCTGCCTCCCGCTGCTGCCACCATCAGCACGGCAACCTTCAACTAGAGGGATATGTTCCCCCAGCCACAGATCCAAAGGTGTTCAGGTGCAAGGTCCCCGCCATGCACAGCTGAGGACCTCTGAGGAGAGGCGCTCACAGTCACACTAAGGGTGCTGAGGTTGCTTTCACCCTCCATGGAAAGGAGGACCAGGCTGGAAGAAGGTTGCAATGGGATGTGCCTGCCAGGGGTTAAACCTTTCTTCCAGTTTTATGCAAGAGGGTTTCCCCAGCAAGGGGGTCTGTGGTCCCTTCCTCCTTCTGCCTCCCCTACTCAGCCATGTCTCTTCAGAGTCCTGCTGGGGTCCCCTGCCAGATGAGATGCCATGTTCCTGTGCAACCTCCTCCTACAGAATTCTTTCCACGGAAGAAAGCAAGATCAGGAGAAGTTTTACTGCTGTAATCCCAGAGCAAATCTGGTATCTAGATCAGAAGATCCTTACGGAAAAGGGCAATGGCTTCAACCTTTCATCTAGAAACATGATGAAGCAGCAGGTCTGATAAGGCATTCACCAGCTCTTGCTGTCACAGAGGAGCAAGCAGGAGCTCAAAGCTGTGTGACCCATGGGAAAATTTGTCTTTCTGCACACAGACCCCAAAGAAACTAGTTAAAAGTGTCAGCTAAAGATCCAGGCACTTTGCCATAGCCAAATCACAAAAGCCGTCCTTACAAAAAGACAGCTGCCACCCTGCTTTCCTGTGCTACAGGACAAATTGCTCCAGAGAGGGCACGTGCGTTGATGTGGCACAATGCCGTCTTATCCTAGATGTAGGTCAAAAGGCAAGTGCTGAGCTGAGCAGAAGCTGATGAGAAATCCTTGAAGGAACCATTTGAATGTGCAGAAGTAACAGCAGAGGAAAGAAACTACCAACTCACAGGTAAGGTATGCAGGGAGGCTCCACATCAGCCAGGGCTGCTCGGTAGGCGCGGAAGGACGAGGAGCTGTCAATCAGTGTGCAGTACTCAGCCAGGCCCTGGCAGAACACAAAGCCCACGGTGACACCACTGCTGCAAATCTCTTTTCTTTGTAACCTCTCCCCAGAGAGCCATGCAGGCCAGGGAGTTAATGCCATCCTGCAAACCCCTCCAACTGATTTACTCAGCCTGACCCTGAGGGCATACAGACAGAGCCTCGCTGCCTTCAGCCTCATCAAGCCTTCAATGTGCAAGGAGGAGGAGGAGGAGGAGGCTGTTCTCACCCGTGACTGCAGCAGTCAGAATGCCCAGCCACACGGCAGACCTCCAGCACGGCGGCATTATACCCACCGGAGAGCAGTTCTCCACCATCCCTCCACCCCGGGATGCTGCTGAGCTCTTAAAACCACCCAGCTGTTGCACACCTTAATCACAGTTATCTTTTTCCCCTGAAGATGATAGCCCTCGCTGCTCCTCACCTCTGAGGTTTGTTTCTGCCACTCCAGCCTTCGGATGGGTGCAGAATCCAGTGCAGAAAGAATGGCCAGATAGGAATTAAAATTATTCAGCTTTCGTAAGTGCTATGAAGAGGGAGAATATACCAGTTACTCTAGAGATCCGAAAAGCCTTCTAGCACCAAACAGCTCTACCTGCCCTGCTCTTTTAAGGAGCCTTGTGTCTGATTCACAGCAAGAACCAAGCTGATACCTTCATGATCTTTATAAATTTAAGGAGCAGCCTCTCTCGGTCTTGGGCTTTCTCTTGTAGCATAATTATTGAACGGACCCTAGAAGAACAGACAAAAAAAAAACCACTTAAGCAGATCTCAGATTTCTTCTTGTTTCATTTAAAAATAAAAAGATTAACTGATTGGGATGGGTCAACAACACTAAAAAGTTCATGCTACCTCCAACTTAAATGGAGCACTAATTCACAAAAAAGACAGAATAATTTCAAGGATGACCACAATAACCCTTAAGAGGGTGCATTTATTTGAAAGGGTAATGTTTGTTTGAAGGGCTCAGTGGTACTGACAATAATTCCTCTGGGTTACAGTGCCCTCTACAACCCTCCTGATTTTCTTCCTCGTGTGCTCCGGGGTCTTTCCTGAGTGCCTGGCATCTACTCCCTGGCCACAAATGTATGTTATCCCACTTGTAACAAGGGAACCCAACTCTGCAAGGTACGTTTTGAATATTTGTAGGGCACCAGAGGTTAAGCACAGTTCAATGCCACGGTTGTTCTGAACTCCTTACCAGTAGGACATGTTATTAAAGTGCTCTGTGAACTGTGTCAGGTTGGGGCTCTTCTCTTCATTTTGCTCCTTTGCCCAAAGCAAAACTTCTGGGATCTGCCGAGGAAGAGGAGAGGGGTGGGAAAATATCACACGTTAAAATGGGATTTCTGCCTCCAGATTCCCAGTGGCAGTCTGTGTTCACTGTTACTTGCTGACACAAGTTCAGCTGTCTCCTGCAACCCACCACGTCTGCCTGGAGAGCTGGCAGGGAATATCAGAGATCGGAGAGGGTACTTGTTCAAATCCCTCCCATCGCCCTTACCCCATCCTTGTCTCTGTACCTCAATTTTATAGAAGAGTTCAGCGTCTAGGAGGGTCAGCTGCTCGGCTATTTCATGACTGTGGAAATCATGCAGGGTCCCTGGCCTGCAGGAAACAAGGATGAAGTATAAAGGCTAGGAAAATGTGACCTATTGTCTTTCCTTTCTTGTATTTTGGACTGAGAAAACTGTTGTGTCCACAAGAAAGGGATGCCCTGTCTCTCACAGAATGAAAGTATGGTTACATGCATCTTTCCTCACCTGGCTGCCACCCCACGGGCTGCAAGGGGTTTGATGGAATTGGCGTAGCTCAGCATTTTCTTCTGATCCACTTTATCAAGGATATTCTTGCGTAACACTCTGGCGAGGCTCAGCTCCCCGTTGCAGACCAGTCGGAAGACCAGGTCCATCAGCAGCTTGAGAATTTCCTCTGTCAACTCCACTAAGCTGAGAGAAAGATGGAAAACAGAGGGAAGGCATCAGAGCTACGACTCTAACTGAGCTAGAGAGTTTGTATCTGTACTGAGTCTTTTCACTCTTTCCTACAAGCAGAAGTCAGTGACTGAAATTTCTCCTCTTCCCAGCTCTCCCTTTCTTACAGATTCCCCTTTTATTGGTTATTTTAAAATCACTGACCCAGTTAGGACACACTGAGAACCTGGCTCTTCCAACAAGAGGGTTCAGCACTATAGGTGTCTCGTGGGTCAGGGCAGGGGATTTCAGCTGTCATTATCGATGAGGTTTAAAGAACCCACATCTTCATAACTGCCAGACTTCTGTATTGTTACTAAGCCCACATCTCCCATCCCAAACTGAAGAACGCAACTCACCACAGCTCATCCACCACTCTCACCAGCACGAAGAAGGTGTTCTTACTGACTCGCTTCTTAAACGTGTCTGGGAAGTGGCAAAACTTCTCATATGTTGGTTTCAAATTAAAGAATCAACTTAGTGTGGTCAGACCAGCATTGATGCAACTAACAGCTGCCTTGAGGAACGTCAGAATAGCTACTCTTCTGTCTTGACTGAGACTGGTGTTCAACTTCCAGGAGGTAAGGGACGCCAATGTGGCTCTAATTAACACGGTATTAAGCTGCCACCAGCTGCAGGTAGCAGGGGTGTGAGGAAGTACTTACACCTCGCAGAATTGATGCTAGAAGAGCAGGTATACCCTGAAACTGTTCTCTCTAAGGCGGAATTTAATGAGCAGCACTCCTCTACTGTGATCTCCCCCACTGGTCTGTGACATCTGCTCTCATAACGGATCTCAGACGTCGCCCCTACCTTCCTCACTGCCCAATTTGCTGCAAGGCGAACGGCTGGCAGGGGAGGCAGCATGGGTTGAAAAACCTTCTGCCAGGTGGACAAAGGGAAAGGTATTGACAAGGGCCTGCATGAATGCCCCAGCCAGTATTTTCACTGACAACTGCTCTGCAGTGAGATTTGCTGTGTCCTTGGCCGTGCTGATCCCAGCGGGAGCAAGGGGAGCTGTGGCTCTGCTGCAGATGGCAGTGATGAGCTGCGACGCAGGACAGGGTGACGTCAGGCTCCCTTTGACGTGTGCTCCCTTGTTCAGGACCAAAGCCCACGAGGCCTTTGCACTGCCTGAACCGAGACACTGGCCTGCTCAGCTCACGGCGAAGGGAGCCACGGGAACAGAGCCAAGGGGAAGGAGCTGCAGGCAGGGTGCTCAGCAAGAAGCCTTCTGCATGCTCTGCCAGAAATGCTAACGCTCACCCTGCCACGCAGGGGCACTTGCCTCCTTAGCAGTTACAAGCTCAGTTCAGAACTGGGAGGCCAAGAGGACATTATCTTCTGTGCTGCGTTTCTTGTAATACGAGAGAGAACAGGTCTTGATGGTTTAGTCATCTCTACGATTAAAATACAACTGCCCAAGCAGGCAATCCCCATGGCTCCTCCAGAAGGCGGTGTGATCCCCATTCTGCAAACGAGATGTCCCAAACAAATGACCGATTCCCCAGCAATGCACAGCAAATCTGAACTGCTCTTTTGCCCTGCCAGAGCTTGTAGGAGACTACTCTCAGGTCCAGTACTCCACCCTGCCTGGACCTGCCCAGAAGCATTTCCCATTCGCAAGGTGCAGAGGTGAAGGAAGTCCTGCTTGGGATACCTCCAGAGCAAGCACATTACTGACCACATTGACAGCAGGCTTTTGAGCAAACAACTTGCCACCAGCTCCTTCCACAATGACTGCTTGGCTCTGATTCCTGGTGGGGGTGAACTGTCACTCATGCAAAAGGATATCTGTACTGCAGCTTCTTGATGAGCTCTTCAGGGGTGATAAATGTTCTGTATGTAGTCAGAAAGGCTTCACAGTACAGCACCAGATCTACAGAGAAAGACAAGAAAGCTTCAGTCCAGCTTGCTTCCAGAAAAAGGAAGCATCTTGTAACATTAAAGCCAGTCTTACAGGCAGAGGACACGGACACATTTTGACACAAATGGACTTTACAGAAATGCTGTGCTGTTGTTTCTTACCAGCAGATGGACCCTATGGCACAAGAGCAACAGTGAAACTGCCCTGTCCCCACTGCCCTGGCTCCCATTCGCAGCTCTCAGGCTTGCCATTTCACTTATGTGACCACTAAAGGGGTCAGTGAAAAACACCTGTTTGTGGGACAGGAGCTTTCAATGACAGGTCAAGAAAAAAATGTGGTTTAGACCTTGGGGATACTTTAAAATGAAGATCTGATGGTGAGAGATGGGTGCCTGTTCTCTGTCCTTACTGCTTAGGCAGCACAGGGCCCTACAGAAAGGCATGGTCACTCTTCCCTCCTGATCCGGAACGCATGTGTTTTGACATGATGATATGGTGCTGCAGACCCTCTGCCCTTGCTACATTCCAGGCAATCTGGCCCAGGACAGTGTAAATAGATTATTTTCAGCCAAAAGAAGAGTAAATTGCACTGCAAAAACTGACACTATCATGACTGTGACCCTGCCACAACACACTCCGACGCGGTGCACAGAGACAGCTTTTGTTTATTAATCTGCAGCAGTGGGTGCTACAGGCCTCAGAATTGCAAAGGTTTTGGCCGTCGTCAGGGGCACAAAGGAGAGAACTTGAAAAAGCAGGAACCGCAAATGGGAAAGATAATTTCAGGTCAAGACTGTGGTATACTTGCAGTCCCAACCAAGGCTTGGTCGCTGTGGACAGCAGTGGTCAAAACAGAAACTTATTAGCCCCGGTATGAAGCCACGCAGCACTGCAGGCAGCGCATGCAGTGGGATGGCACACTGCCCCTGCCCGGTGCCCTGCAACCGCTGGCACAGCCTTGTTAGCGCAGACAGGGAGAAAAAGCTTCTGCCCTGCCTGCCCAGGCTAGGCTGTACATGTAAAACTTGTTTCAGCCAGGACAGGGATCACCGCGCACCCACGTGCTGTAACACCCATCCATTGCACGTGGAGGGTGGGAAAGAGCAGGGCACAGCGTGCTAGCTGTGCCTCTCTACCTGCGGTGTTTCTCTTGGCAGGAGCCTGACAGAGACGCCGCCTCCTCCTGCTCTTAAATCAGAGCGCGCCGCTGCCTTTTGGTTAAAGACAATCAGACATGAGCTCTAAAGCCAGAGGCTGGGTGGTCATGTCAGGGGTGAGTCCTAGGCCCCGTCCAGCTGTAATGCTGCACTCACAGCAAGTGTGGCTGTGAGCACTTAACTGACCATGGGTTTTATTCCTAAAGACCACAAGTTTCCCTTTATCCCTTATTCCATAGCTCTTTTAGAAAACTCAGATGGACAAGAAGCATCATGCAACAGGGTGTGGAGTTACATTTATTCTGGGTTCCCATCTGCCCAAAAGGCAACGTGAGGTAATACAGCTGGTCTGCTCTGGCACTCGAAGCTGCCAAGAAATTCATCTTTAAACGAAAGCCTCTTAACTATACCCCTCTGTGCCGTTTGGCTGATTGATTTACAGGCCCTGAATTCTTTTCATTGTAAGCTTAATTCATTAACCCCCTCAGTCACCCAAACACTGGGTTAGCATAGCACAAATTCCTCCATGCTCCATTCAGCTCAGCGGCTTGGCAGAGCCCGTGAGGCTAAGCCCTGTGTCTATTCTGAGAAACGGACCGCGCAGAGCTCCCTCCACCCAGCCGCTCTCCCCGTCCGCACCGCTGTGCGGTTAAAATCCTGCTCTAGTTTTTTCCTAGTCTTGAGAGGTGCTCCATGCCTTTAACCTCACTGCTCACAGCACCCTCAGAGCTCCGTGCTCGTGAACAGGAGGTCTAGCACACATCCCTTTACCAAGGAGCGGTCTTTCAGCAGG